GAGAGGTAGAGCGGTAGAATCGGTTGAGTGGTAGATGCCGCAAGTGTCGAACGTGTACTTCGACGAAATAAAGTCCAAAACAGTATAAAAATTCGAAAAATTTGATCAGGATGCACGTTTTCAAGATTGATAATTGAACTCGGAATGTAAGTAAACACTCTGAATCATACATAACGCCATCTCGCGACATACTGCCAAAGTATCTGTGAGATATTTGTGCAATAAAATTTATTTGAATTTGAATTTGAATTTGACAGACAGTATTCACTTGCGTACGTGTGAACGCTCCGACTCAGACCGGCCCGAACCAAATTTGGCCCGAGCCAAATCTAGCCCATTTGGCTTGAGCCAAACCATGACCGTGTGAACGCGACTATGGTCTCCATGATGATTGGTTCTCACAGAATAATCGCACATCGAAAGTGCGCGTGATTGCAAGATCTTAAAACCTGTGCATTACTATTAGTCTCACAGACACAATATCGTGGTTAGGTTAGAGGGCTGGCCAAATAAAATGGGATGATATTGGCTTATTGCGGGGGTCCCAAACTATCAATGAAGGGTTTCTTATACATGAGAGGTACAGCGGCGTACCGCCGTTGTCAAACTTAAAACGGTTATTGCGAGATTTTTGCTCAGAAAAACTAAATAAAGCTGAATATAGTCTCACCTGACACTGACAGCGGAAATACCACCGATTACACCAACATTAAAAATACTAAGATTTTATGCAGTTATAGCATAGAAAAATGGATTTGACCACATCGTAACAGCCATAAAATTTATCGTATGCCGATAATGCCTAATGGCAGAATTGGTAAACTTGTATTTGTGTCGGTGATGAATTGAAAACAAGTGCATGCCTGTACTATGTCTATGGCAGATAGGCGGTGGTGCCACAAGCTAATCCATACTTCATGTTAGTTCAAGATGACAGAAAACAAATGTTTACAAAAACGATTGGTTCGAAACTGGCAGTTTTCGGTGAATACTGAAGGTTCTAAGACATTTTATTGTACTCTAGACAATTGCTGTTACTCAAGCAATAATGGTAGGTGTCATGAAAGTGGTGAAAACACTGGAAAACTCTCGAGATGGTTACTTTAACATCGCCATTGTGAAAATGCTCCTGTAACAATTTTTAACATTCAAATTTTTTAAAGTTTGCTGGGGAAGACCCTCAGAACCCTCCCCCCTCCCAGCGAGAAGGGGACTTGCCCTCTCTCTCTCTCCCCGCGTGTCCGCCTGCAGCGTCCGCATGCATGCCTATGGCAGGTCTTTAAATCCATCATGCGCATTTTTCCCCAAACTGGCCATTACCTCCATTGTCTAATTTTCCCTAAGAAGAAACCTTGTTTGTATCACACCGAAGGCCACGTCCTCACCGAAGATCACTGAGAAGGAGAGAGAGGTAGAGAGGTAGAGATGGAGAGAGGAGATAGAGAGCGAGGTAGAGGGAGAAAGAGAGGTGGAGAGAGCTAGAGAGATGGAACACACCACCAAAAGCCATGTCCTCCCCGAAGATCACTGAGAAGGAGAGAGAGATAGAGAGAGAGGTAGAGAGGAGATGGAGAGAGAGATGGAGAGAGGGGTAGAGGGAGAAAGAGAGGTAGAGAGAGAGAGATGGAACACAGCACCGAAGGCCACGTCCTCACCGAAGATCACTGAGAAGGAGAGAGAGGTAGAGAGGTAGAGAGGAGATGGAGAGAGAAAGAGGTAGACACGAAGGCGTAGACATTACATTGTTTTGCTCCACTATGCGACTTTTTTCATGATGGCACGTGTTTCAGCCCATTGACACTACACCGTGTGTCCTCTTTGTTGCTTTTTCCATACAATACACCCCATTCTCTAGCTCACCGTTTGAATAGCATGGCAAGTCTACAGCACAATGATAAGGAATGATAACGGCGAACAAGCCATCTTCTAAGCTGAGCCTGTACGTTATATAGCCACACCAGGCGATTAGTACAGTATGTACCAGACAAGACAAGACAAGACAAGACAAGACAAGAGTCGATCGGAGCGGATGCTGCGCTGTTACCTGTGTTGGGGTCCGTCTCCAAAGCGATGTCCATCGCATTGTTCATTGCATTGCAGAGATTCATCTGTTTCGTCTCTCCTGCGATAGAAGTTATTATTACGCTCTCTCAGCTCTGAGCCATCGAACCAGGGAAAAAATTAAAATTGATTTTTCGGGGGCTACTTTTCAAGCTCGCGTGCATGAAAATAGCACTCTAAAATTTGGTTTGCATTGAACTCTATGCAAATTTACGGGGGCTCTTTTTGGCATTTCGGGGGCTAAATCGCGCCGAGCCCCCGTGTATTTTTTTCACTGCATCGAACCATAAGCTTAAATCCAACTTAAATAGCGGTAACACGTTGAGGTTATACGTCCCGTAGAAAACTAACCAGGCCCTTACTTTACGCACGGCGATATAAATGAATAAAATCGCAAGAAATGCGGTTAATGAACCCAAAACTAGGTTGCAGCGAGAGAAAAAAAACTAGGCCACAAACTTATTCATTTTTATGCGGGCAGCTCAAGTCATGAGGCGCGTTCACACGGACGTTTTTGGCCCGAGCCTAATTAGGCCCGCGCCAGATTTGGCTCGAGCCGAGCGTTCACACGGACGTTTTTGGCCCGAGCCTAATTAGGCCCGCGCCAGATT